ATCATTAATAGGTTGTGATTGGCACACCATAGGATGTTTAAGATTCATTTGCTGGTTGTGTGTTGTTATCCCGAGACCCGACAGGCTTGTATCGGGAGGAAGACGTTCGTCCTGGAAACAAGAAGAGCAGGAGGAAGGATTCGAGCAAATGTTCTGACAATACCAAGGATAAGGGGAAAGGGAAATGCAAGGATGAGGAGATGCCTAAGGGAGAGAGGAAAAACAAGGAGAAGGGTGGAGGAAAAAACCAAGGAGGGGACAAGGACAAAAAGAAGTTTGTGATAAAGGAGAAAGGTAGGGATCCATGTTCACGCTTAAAGCTTAACTCTATGTGTGATCTACATTATTCTGTTCTCTTCCCCCCACTTTGTGTAACCTTGTCCAATTCATCTGCTCTTGTCTCATACATCCGATTCCTTCCCATTCACTTAACGTATGTTTGAAGGCCCCACCACTAATTCCATCCGCCTCCCTTCCCTTTCCGAAAATCCCCTCCCCCTCCCTGTTCTCCCCTAAACCCTATCCCCCTCCCCCCTCCCTCTCCCTTCCCCTCTCCCTTCCCGTTTCCTTCCCCCTCCCTCCCCCCCCCCCCCCCTCCCCCCCCCTCCCACTCCCGGTCCCACTCTCCAGGTTTATCAGGCGTTGCACCACCGGGCAGGGTTTCATGCAAAGAAACGAAGTGTCATGAACTAGCTGCAGCACCGAAAGCAGTATCGGGTCGTGGTGCAAATGTTCTTGACGACCGTGAAAGAGGAACACCCGTAACCAGGACCGAATTCGCCAATTTGGAGGGGACGGTTTGGGGCGAGTTGGCGACAATCCGGACGATGATAGAAGGTTCACGGGCAAGCACGTCAACAAACAACCAATCCGACTCACTTGTTGCTTACGGTGCACCTACTGTCGCACCTGTTGTTACGCACGTCGCTGCACCCACATCTGACGTTCCGGACGTTACAGAGAGTCCCGTGTTGTGGGCCAAATCGATTGTCTCGACATGTCTCCCAAATTATTGGGTGAGTGACGGTTTGGGTTTGGGGGAATGGAAGAAATATAAGGTCTCGGCATGTAGAGGGCATGTAGAGGGGTGGTGTAGGTGGGGGGTGTATGTAAGGTGCATGTGATTCTCAACTACCTTTGCTCTTTTGTTCTTCTAACAATGCTACCAGGTTGGCTTCTTACCTGTCCACTCACCTTATCCTCTTATTCACTGTTTCCCTTCCCTTCCCCAACCCCTTTCCTCTAGTTTACATTGCCATCTAAACCCTGCTTCCTTAACATTGTTTCAACCCTGAAGAGGGGATTTTGGTGATTTTTTTTTTCTGGTTTCCACTCCTACCCCATCAACAGGATGTGTCTCGTAGCGTGACGACAAAACTGCTCTACACGAACCCAGCGGACAAGATTCAGTTCTATCCTTCGAATGGAGAGGCGATGGAGCTCGGCTTCAAGCAGGTGGCGCCTGCCAATGCAGTTGAGGGGCTGGGTATCTTGTTTGATCACAATGATCCCGCCACTCGTGGTGTCTTCAATGATCAGATGTCCGCTGCAAGAACCACAATTGACACCCCTGGGCAGAAAGCCACATTACCTGCTCTTGGTCGGGCTTCTGCAAAAAGATATGTGAACGATTTACCAGCAGAGCTTAGCCCGCCAGATGAATACTATACCGATGAACAGTTGGTGGAGAAGTTCCATGATGGTAAGTGGCATGATCACTTGTTTGATTGATCATGTTTTTGTAGATTGTATTGTTGATTATTATATAATTATTCTTGTGATGCCTCTTTTTCAATCCGTCATTGTGCAGATGAGTGGGGCTTTCCTTGGCACTGCTTGCGTGGGAAGCCGTTTTCCACTCTCATTTTTGCAGTTACGCTTCGGCAGGCATTGACACGGAGGGGGGTGAACATTGAAAAGTACAAGATCCGACAAATCGCATGGAATTTGTATGCTGTAAGTGTCTTGTTGGGAAAGATGTGCTTTACTTGATGTTTCTGTTATAAGCAGAGCTGTTTCGTTATGCATGAAATCATGGTTGCCTATAACCATGTTGCCTTTTTATTTCCAGCAGTTCATTGTTTGTTGATGTGTTAGACATCAAATGATATCATGGGGTTTGTTCTGTTTTCAACTTATGACATTCCATTAGCCAAAATATCCAAGAGTCTCTTTGATTTTACATCATCCCTTCCTTCTCTCCTTATTGCCTAAGCAGTGAGACACGAGTTGCAGCGCTCTGGTTTTGGGTGCTCTTTTCACTATTCTCGACTCTTTGCTTACATTCTTTTTATTGCATCCAAATGCTGTAACCTGTCCACAAACCCCAGATTGAGTGGCCCCTTGTGAACAACGCTCTAGATGGGAAGTTATCAGGGAAGTGGAAAGTGAATCGCACGAATTACGAAGTCATGTGTGCGCGGGTGAAGAGATGGGTCGAGCATGCTGTGATCGATCATGGGGTGGCATACGACAGAACAATGGACGCGTTTGTTTTCCCGAACGGAGTGTACATCGATGCATCCGACTGCGGCTCGATTGTGCGACAGATCAGGGTGAGTTACGCGAATGGTTGGGTGTTCAGCTCAAGAATATTTGAACAACTTGTGTGTTTTGTCATTTAGTAAGTTTTGTGTTTGCGTATCCATGCCATTAGCATGCCATCAGTTGTCCAAAATCCTTTTGGTGTATGTTCTAAGTGCAGGTTGTCCCCCCTCTTGTAGCTCCGTGAAAGCGTGGTTGGGACCAAGAAGGGCGGTTGGGCAACAGTCAAAGCGATATGAAGGGCTCCTGATATAAGTGCAGCTGACAGTAGTCTAAGGAATAAGTGTGGCTGACAGTAGTGGGAAGCAATAAGTGCAGCTGACAGCAGTGGGAAGCAATAAGTGCAGCTGACAGTAGTTTGTAGCAATAAGTGCAGCTGACCGAGGTGTGGAAGTAATAAGTGCAGCTGACAGTAGTTTGTAGCAATAAGTGCAGCTAATAGTAGTTTGTAGCAATAAGTGCAGCTGACAGTCGTTGGAAGCAATTAGTGCAGCTGACAGCAGTGGGAAGCAATTAGTGCAGCTGACAGCAGTGGGAACCAATAAGTGCAGCTGACAGCAGTGGGAAGCAATAAGTGCAGCTGACAGTAGTTGGAAGCAATTAGTGCAGCTGACAGCAGTGGGAAGCAATAAGTGCAGCTGACAGTAGATGAAAGCAATTAGTGCAGCTGACAGCAGTGGGAAGCAATAAGTGCAGCTGACAGTAGTTTGTAGCAATAAGTGCAGCTGACAGTAGTTTGTAGCAATAAGTGCAGCGGACAACTGTGGGAAGCAATAAGTGCAGCTGACAGTAGTTGGAAGCATTAAGTGCAGCTGATAGCAGTTGGAAGAATAGGTGCGGCTGACAGTGGTCGGAAGAATAAGTTGCATGAGGTGCAAGTTGAGAGACAAAAGTGGAGCAGGTAGGATGGGATGATTTTGGCAGCACGTGTAGCAATTTGAATAGTGTGATATTAGCAGTACGTGGCGCAGTTGGGGTGGAGTAGTTTTGGCAGCACGTGGAGCAATTGGGATGGGGTGATGTTGGCAGCACGTAGAGCGGTTGAGATGGTATGATGTTGGCAGCACGTGGAGCAGTTAGGATGGGTTGATGTTGGCAGCACGTGGAGCAATTGGGATAGTGTGATGTTGGTAGTACGTGGAGTAGTTGTGTTGGAGTGAGGTTGGCAGCACGTTGAGCAGTTGAGATGGGGTGATGTTGGCAGCACGTGGAGCAGTTGAGATGGGGTGATGTTGGCAGCACGTGGAGCAGTTGAGATGGGGTGATGTTGGCAGCACTGTCCCTGGAGCAATTGGGGTGGGGAGCTAGTTGCAGCATGAGGAGCAATAGGGGTGGGGAGCTAGTTGCAGCATGAGGAGCAATTGGGGTGGGGAGCTAGTTGCAGCATGAGGAGCAATCGGGGTGGAGTAAAGGTGGTAATAGGAAAGCAGTGGCTTCAAATGGAGCTAGGAGAGTAGGCGGAACTCGGGCTGTACTTGGATCTAGGGGCAGCAGCAAGTAGTGAGTTGGGAGCAACCATGTAGAGATGGAGTCCTCGAGTGTTCATTAAGCTAAGTGTAGTGTCATGTAGTGTAGTAGTGATTATTGAATGCAGGAATTTTAATATATATATTTTCCCAAAATACCTTTACTACTAATAGTAATTCAATATGCAGGTGCGATGGGAGTGACTTGTGGTGCCATAATTAGAATAAAATTGGACCAATTTTGGTTTTTTGTGTGGGAAATCTTGGTCTAACAAATTTTGGCCGAATTTCCCCTTGTTCTAGGCCCAATTTTAGGTTTGCAGCCACACCAAATTTGGTCCTAAATCTGGCACCAAAAAAGGTACAAAAAGGTCCAATTTAAGTTAGAGAGACCGATTTCGGTCAGAAATAAGACCAAACCGATACCCACTACATTGTGATGAAGAAAGCGTTCCTCGGATGTCAAGATGAAACGAAGCCCTGTCGTGTCGTGTCGACTCATTCCGGCTCATCAGAAGCCTCGGAGAGTCGGAGGCCCACAGTCCGGAACTGAAGCTCATCACGTTGTGCCACTGACAGTGGCACAATCAAGCCACGGCCTTGTGCATGGATCTTTGCTCGACGCTGACGTCATTCCGTTCCCTCTTGAAGGAGGGATATAGACTTGCAAGACTCACTGGCACACTCATGCTATCCGTCAGTTAACTCTTCTGGCTAAAAGCAGCACTAATGCTTTCTAATAACAGCAGCTTGGCCGCCATGCCGCATTCCACTGAAGGCGTTGACTCGTCGGCCTCGCAATCCGCGTCGCCCTGCATGCAGCCATGGTCGCGAGAGGTGAGTCGCGACTCGCGTGATCGGCCAGATTTTAAGGTTGCAATGGGAAACAGGATCCAACCTTGCATTTCCTTTTGTTATGTCGGAGGGATTATGCTACCTGTACGCGTCAGGACACGTTCAGTGTGCCTGGAGCCGCTCACTTTCGCCTCAATGCTCACGCCATTGCCTCGAGATTATACTCCGCACTCACTCACGCTGCCATTGCCTCCCGCACTGGGTGGGCAGGAGGACGCGGTGCTGCTGCGCCACGCGCTGCAGTGCGGCACGAAGCAGTGGGGCGAGCTGGGGAGGAGCGGTCAGCTCAAGAGGAACAACAAGTTGTGCTATAACCGTTACATCTTCCTCCGGAGGTACCCCTGCATGCCACAATCTTGATTTTCTGAATCCACGTGTCATGATACCCCTGAGCATTTCTCACACCCCTTCTCTCCTGTGGCCGTGTGGTGATGGCAGGAAGTTCACAGACCGCTTTCGCCAAAACTTCCTGCAAAAGCACCTGGGAGCTGCTGCACAACCCCATAATATTACGTTCAACCGACACAGTCAGCCAGTGCTCTGCCAGGATGTAAAGCACCAGCAGTAGCAGCAGCAGCGCTGGGAGGGCGTGGGAGCAGCAGCCCTGGCGTTCGGAGGGCTGTCGTATGAGGAGTGCGTGACGGCGTTCCTCGCCCCCCACGCTCGCTGCTGCCTCCCACCCGCCCCGCCCAACCTCTCATCCCTCGCCACCCCTCCTCCTGCTTCCCAGGCTCCTCCTGCTGTTTCCCAAGGCGCCACCTTCTCTGCTGTGGCTGATTGTACCTACGAGTTTCCCTTCGCCCAGGATGCTTTTCCCGTTGCTGCTTCCTCCAACACCGCTGCTCTGTGTCGGGCAGTGAAGCGACCAAGAGACGATTGCCCTGAGGTGGGGGCACAAAAACCGCTGCTGGGACGCGACAGCCAGTTGCTGCAAGGTGGGGTGGTGCAAGCGGGACGGTGGGAGGAGGGATGGTGCAAGGTGGGATGGTGTGTGGGACGGAAAGCCGGCATCAGTCAGTGGCAGAGCAGTTCCAGCAGCAGGGGGAGAGCAGGCGCGAGCAGCCTTCCAGTGAAGCGAGCAAGAGAGGACTGCCCCGGGCATGAGGTAGACGAAGCGGGGCTAGTTGTAGGTGGAGGTGAGAGCGGGGTGGTGCGCAGTAGGAAGCGGCATGCTGAGTCAGTGGCAGAGCAGTTCCAGCAGCAGGGGGCGAGCAGGCGCGTGCGGGACGAGGAAGCAGCCCTTCTGGATGCTTTGCTGCAGAAGGAGCATCGCCAGCTGGAGTGGGAGAGCGCCCTCCCAAATGATGTGCTGCTGGGGGTCAGCAGTCTCGATGCTGTGGGTTTCAGCAGCCTCGATGCGGTGGGGTTCACCACACCGTGTGCACCAGAACCAGCGCCGCTGCCCACCCCACTCGCTGCTGCACTGGCTGCTTCAGTTCCTGTGCGGATGGGCAGCAGCACTGGAGGGACTCTCGTTGTGAGTAGTTGCACCCAACTAGAGCTGGACACGTGCAGCGTGGCGCATGATGATGTTGCTCTTACTTCCGACATGCCCATGGATCCCCTGTTGCTGTCTGGACACGCCCCCACCGTCCCCCTATTAACACACGGGCAGCTCGTCCGTGTGCCCTGGGCGAGTGGGTCCCAGGGACGGCTGCTGGCAGGCACAGGTGGTGGTGGGGCAGGTCTGGAAGAGTGGGCGTTGGAGCAGAGGGGGAGCAGGGAGGGAGGTGCTCAAGCAAACGGGGATCATCGGCAGCTACAGCCCTTGCCACAGCCTCTGCCACATCCTCTGCCACAGCCTTTGCCACAGCCTCTGCCACAGCCCCTGCCACAGCCCCTGTCACATCCACTGAATATCCACTGACATAGCCACTGACACAGCCATTGTTCCAGGCGCCCTTGCTGTCAGCCCTTTCTCACCAGCCAGGGACCCTGGCTTCACCGGTACACTGTACACGCCCTCGAACCCAAGGGGCTTGCACACGCACGCTCCCATTCAGCCCCGCCATGCCATGCTGCAGCAGCCCTTGGCCGCCCGTGCTTTACCAGCTCTCAAGATCCTGGCGTTACCTCGGCCTGGTATGGCCAATGCTCTGGAAGGTGGTGGAGCTGCACTACATGCCACAGTAGACCATGGGCTTAACTCGGATGTGCACGCCTTGGCTAAATTTGATGCGCTTGGAGGAACAACCGAGTTGAAGTTTGGAAATAACTGGAATGGGGCCACGATTGACCACGTCAAGGAATTGCATGAATCCTTTGGTTCCCCAGGTACTGCCATGCCTGATAGTGGGATGTCTCCATCCCAAGATGTACTTATCCAGAGTCTTTGGGGTCATTCTGACCAGGCTTCTGAGATTTCACCGAGCTTATTAGAAGCCATGATGCTCTGTTCATCACACACAAACGTGGAGCTCAAATGGGAGTTTGTAGGACTTTGTTTTGTATATTTTTAAGTGTAACACCTGTTAATGTCCGCGTCACATCCTCGATTTTAGCCTCCCATTTTAGTAACTGTCGAGCAGAGAAATTGTCGAGCGGAGGCAAGGACTGCTCGACCCACTCGCAGAACCTGGAAGCACATGACCATGAACCTATCCGCTCGAGTCGCTCACCGTCCGTGAGGCTCTTACGGCTCCGATCTAACGGTCCTCTTGAATCCTTATCCATGGCATCAATGTTCCTCAGCTCCGCGTTTCACAGCGTCGGCTCTCACTCGCTCTGCATCATGAATTTCTCGTCCTCATCTGGATCCATACTAGCCGTTTCAGCACGCTGCGAAGGACATGGCAGCCATTCAATCCCGTTCGTCATAACCACGCGTGACCAAGTACTGGTAGCAGGATCGCGTCAGCTCGGATGTGTCAATCAGGGCGCGTGCCGTTCACCCCAGCTTTCACCAAGTCGGATGAATGAACTCTCGAGGCGAAGGTTTGCAGCCCGCTGCTCCGCATGGTTGCGGACGGACTCTCGTGAAAGTTGAGGTTCATTAGTCGGACCCGGCCATCGCCAATCATCTTGGAAGATCAAGTAGAAGTTCGCATCGAGTCTGTTCATCGCCGCGGTCCGGTGAGTATGTCGTGTGTCGGAGGAAGGATAGGAGCCACCGGGGATGTAGCGCCTGCGACCCTACACAAGGGTTCAACAGGTCACCGCTGCGCCTCTGAACAGCCCCCGTGTTGGCTCAGTGGTCTAGCGGGGCGTTCTAGCAACAGTATTAGGGTTCGTACCACCACCTTATCATCGGCCTTGCGTTCTGCGTTCGCTCCGTTCTTGCTCTTCAATCTTACGTTCCATTCGGAACTTGCCAGGCTTTGGGGCATAGCCTTCCTGTGAAGAGATTCGGGTTGAAGGATGAGCTGCCGTGTCTTGCAAGGCAATGACCTTATAGCAGGCATGCGATTCGCTTCTCGCGTGACTCTGTATTAATCGAGGTGACTTTTGAGTCGACTCAAAGGTCACCTCATGGCAGGCATGAGATTCGCTCCTCGTGTGACTCCGTTCCAATCGGCCGCTCTTACGTCTGCTGGGCTGTCGTTTGATGAGTGTTTGTCTCACCCAAGTCGAGGGTGAGTGGGTTGGGGTGGGATGGGATAGGAGATTTGAAATGGAGAGGAATAGGTAGGGGTGGGATGGGGTGGTATGCGGTAATTTGCCGGAGCCAGTGCTGCTGTGTCCGATGCCAATGCTGCCTTGCGCAAAGGTGGTCAGGGGAGTGACCTGCCCTGGCCCTGCTGACGTGATGAGGACAGAACCGCTGTGCACCAGGTCTGCTGCTCCCAGCCGGCGAAACAAGCGACCTAGGGAGGGCTGCACTGGCCTTGCCATGGAACCGCGGGTCCGAGGCTGCACAATGCAGCGCCCATGTTCACAATCACTGGATAGTAGTGGCTGTGCACAGCAGCGGAAGAGGTGCCGAGGGCACCCGGCATTGTCTCTGCCTGTTGGGTCAGAGATTGCCCTGTCAGACGACGTGCACCGGGGATTATGTTGACTGCGCTGGTGGCATGAGCGCACATTGCCACTGCCACTGCCTCTTCCCTCGCAACTCCCTGCTCTGGCAGGCTCGTTCCCCAGGGGAATCAGCAGGTGCATTTGGAGGTGCATTAAAGGACCTTGGCTGACACGAAGTCCCCTAACATGCAGGCACCGGTTGAGCCCAATGCATCACTGTGGCACAGAAAGAGAGCTGCCTGCTGCTCTCTTGCTCCCCACACGCCCGTCTCTCCCCTCTGCCTGCCTGGGCCTGCCTCCCACCTGTCATGCGCTGCGGCACTGTGTGCTCCTGCCGCCTGCCTGCCCCTGGGGCATCGCTTTGGGCAGGGAACGAAAGCACTGTGAAAGGGTTTACTTACTGGCGCACAGGAAACAAACGATACGGCTTACAGATAATACAGGCTTGCGAGATGCACCAGCAAGAAAAACATAACATGATTTGATCCCAACCGACAGACTCGATCAAGTCTGTCGTTTGTTTGTTTTTATGGGCTACATGTACTGCCCAATTCTATGTAGCCTAAGCTTGCGATACTTGCTTTAAATGTACACCCTCTTTCTCTAGAGGAGCTGGGCCTGAAGGTTCTTATTTTTCGTTCTGTCAGAATCGTCCTGCCAGACCTAACGAAGCTGCTCGTTTCTGCATGGGTGACATCACATTAGGCTTTCAAAAATTCAAGAGATGCCTTTTCACATCCATTTCCTTTCCGTGCCCGTGACCATCGTGGTGCCCGTTAAACAGGGCCAAGAATCCGTCATATCCAGAATCACTAATGCCGAATATCCCGAAGGTGCAGAGCTTACATGTGACCCCTTTGGAGACCATGCATCCTGACAACGTGAGAATCTCGTGTTCATTCTGACAAGGCGTGACGTGAGCCGTCTTTACATTCTGAACAACTATGTCTGTATGGTCGCTCACAGTCGATGAGAGCATTGCGGTGCGTATCGCGAGGTATGCCCTTGGGTGATCAGTACCCCGCGTTCGAACCTTGGCATGATGTTCCGCTTATTGTATCGTTGTGTTATCATGGCTTTGAAGCCCACTGGTGGAGAGACGGAGCTTGGTACAATGGTGGTACAATGGCTGCAGCAGCTGCCTCGCTGAAGTTCACTGCCACCCCAAAGCACGCTCAACGAGTTCACAGGCGAACGTCCCCTTCCAATCTTCCCTTTTCCACAGCCCCCCTGCTTTGCTCCTCCACCTCGCTTCATCCCTCCTTTCTAACTCCTTCGTTCCCCCTCCGTTTTCCCTCCTCTGCATCCCCCTTCATGTCTTTCCCCATTCCCGTTGTCCCCCTGTCCTTCCGACATCTTTCTGGTCGTGAGCACGGCAGCATCGCGGAGTTGGTCACAAGACGCAGCTGCTGCGGGTGCTGGAGGGGGTGGATGGAAAAAAGAGTCGGCAGCAGTGGAGATGCGCGGGAGAGAAGGGCGAGTAGCACTGGAAGGTAGGGATAGTTGCGAGCAGTGGGGGATAGATGGGAGGATCTGAGAGCATCGGGGAAGAGAGGGGAGCTGGGAGCAGTGAGGGGAAGGAGGGGGAGCTGGGAGCAGTGAGGAAGCTGAGGGAGCTGGGAGCATTGGGAATGAGGTGCGTTGGAGTCAGATGTTAAGTGACGAGGTGAGGGTGGGTGGCGTGGGGTGAGATGCGTAATTTGGGACAGAGATGAGTGTTACAGAGTGGATGCATGGAGCAGGCTGGGATTGCTGGGTTTGTGTTGGGATGGGAAGGCCAAGAAGCATAGTGGGTTGTTGGGCACGTAAGCATCTCTTGTGACTTAGTATCCCATTTCCCTGAACCTGGATTGGATGCAGGGAAAGGAGCTCATTTACTTGACCATTATCTGTAGTGGGTTCGTACAAATGTGGTTAGCCAACTTTTCGTGAATGTTGAGATTGTTGTGATCGCGAAGGGTCATGGTGCCGTATTGTGGACGACTGGGAATCAGCTTTTTGGCCTCCATAGAGTTATCTGTTCTTTCGTGAATCTGCTCTCATACGGTGTTGACTGGTATGCTTGTGTGGATTATTTGTTGGGGAAGACGCTGGGAAGTACTGTAGGTGAATGGAGAATTTCACATATAGTAACAGGACCAAACTCCTAAATTTAACGCCGACACAAACTGTCGGTTATAGCACTTCAAAACACAGTACACACTGAAATCACTCATTGTAACGCATCTGCCCATAGCGAGTACGCCCAAGGGTTTGGCAGGAAGCCGACCTTCATGTTCAGGATAAGGCAGGCAGGCAGACTGCTCCAGTTGGCTGCTGCCAGTGCCAGCGTATGGTCCGCAGACCTCAGCAGCACTTGCCTTGTCCCTCCCTCCCTCCCGCTACCAAACCGCTAACGCACCACAAACCGTATATAATCCTCCCCGTAAAAAATCCGCAAGATTGGTTCCATTTTCAGTCTTGCTCGAGCCCCAGCATTCGATCGCAGTTGCTTGCTAGGTCAAAAATGTCTTCCCCTTCTGTGCATCTGATTGGATGTCCAAGCCTGGAGGAAGGTGTTGGGAATAATAAGTCCTAAAGCGCCTCTGTCGTGTCGAAACTCAGGACACTAGCGAAGCAGTCCGAATCGAAGCATCGCGAGTCAACCCTCGGAGGTTGAGGTAACCGCCAGGAGGTTACACGAAGGTCAAAGGTCAGCGACCTTTGACTTGACAAAACAGCGCGACAGCAAGGACACACAACTGACTCGACATTGAGCAGTTGCCCGAGTCGCACTGTATCGAATCGCAACAGCAAAAACAGTTTAGTTATATCTATTCGTATTCCTTGTACTCTTATATAAAGCCTTGTATTTTGCTTGTTTTAATTAACTAACTTTGCCCTCACATACTAGCGCAAGGTGGTCCAAGG